AGTAATGGGTCAAAAATATCTATAACTGAACTTAAAAATACAATTGAGGACCTCAACAATAAACAAATGCAAGTAATGGAGAGAATTGCTGTGTTTGAAAGCACAATGACAGAGAATACACAATCAGAAAACAAAGATAAATAAGAATTTAAAAATGATAAATGTGTAAGAGTGTTCTCGGATAATCTAAGGATATATAACATTCAAATCATGGAGGTTCCAGAAGTAGAAGAAAAAGAGAAAAGCACAGAAATTTTATTTTAGAAATAATTGCTGAGAACCATTTTAGTCTGGGAAATGAAACAGGTATCCTCATCTAAGAGACTGAAAGAGTACAAGCAAAATAATACCCAACTTTTATTACCCTAAAACACATTATAATAAAACTATTGTAAACCAGTGACAAGGACACTTAAAAGCATTAACAGAAATAATAATAATCTATAGGGAATATCAGTTAGATGGGTCATTAAAAGCATTAGGAGAAAGAATAATAATCTATAAGGAATATCAGATGGGTCACAAACTTTTCAGTAGAAACCTTATAGGCAAGCAGAGAATGGCAGGAGATACTTACAGTACTCAGACAGAAAGATCTCCAGCTTGGAATACTTTATCCTGCAAGACTATCATCCAAGACAGAAGAAAGAAATATGGAATTTCACTGAAAAGCAAAACTTGAAAGAATTTATTATCACCAAGTGATACATGAAAGAAGTACTAAAGGGGCTCTTCCAAATCAACAATAACAAAAAACAAATATAGAGTAAACAGACACCAATGGTATACACCGTGGAGTGGGAGCGTGAAACTATGGCCCGTTAGACCATATAGCCCATCATACAATAATCTCAGCAGAACCTTGAACAAAAATCAATAAAACTAACACATAAAACAATGGAAATGGAATCTAAACAAAACATAAAAGATGTAAAAAACAACAAGAACAACAACAAAAAAAGACAAACTAAAAATTTTTAAATAATAAAATGGCAAAAAGATTTTATACCTTATTAATCACCTTAAATGTAAAGGGCCTGAATTCACCAGTTATAGGATATAGAGTGACTAAGTGGATTGTTAAACAAAGTCCAACCTTCTACTGTCTATACGAAACATACCTTATCAACAAAGACAAGCTGACTTAGGGTTAAATACTAGAAGGCAATCCAAACAGCAAATGACAATAATAAAAAGTCAGGAACAGGTATATCTATATAAAATGAAATAGATTTCCAATTAATAAAGGTAATAAGAGAGAGAAAGAGAGATGGATACTCATTATGACTAAGGACCTAATATAAAAAAGAAAAGAATAACATTTATATATGCACCAAATGATGGAGCACCAAGATATGTCCGGCAATTATTAACAAAACTAACTAAAGAGTAATAGTGACAAGAAACAATACTAGGGGATTTTAATACTCCACTTACAACTATAGACAGATCAACAAAACAGAATAAATATGGAAATAAGAGCTTTAAATAAGGAGCTATACCAAAAGACATGTTCAGAACGCTTCACCGCAAAAAAGTTGTATATACATTTTTTAAATGCAATGGGACATTTGCAAGAAAAGACCATATATTGGACACAAGTCAATTGTCAATAAAACTATGAAGACTAAAATCATACAAAGTATACTTTCTGATGACAATGCCATAGAGCTAGAAATCAACAATAAAAAAAGACCAAGAAAAATCATAAATACATGAAAACTAAACAACTACAAGGGGTTAATCCAACCTCCACTCCTTATTTCTTCCACTATTATTTTAGTTGCTGAGGGTCATATCATCATATATTAGCTGCTGATTCTTGGTAGGCAGTCCTAAACCATGCACTGTGTCTAGACTGTTTTGTTATGCAACAAGATCTCACTGATACAGATGAGTTACATGGTTAGACCACAGAGTCTCAAGTTCAAGTGTTCATTGTTTCTCCTCTTTTGTCAAAAATGGGCCCTTTGGTCTGAGCCATTGTTGTGAGAGAAACCATGTCAATATATTAGGCTTCCATTAATTCTTGAATATTAGAAGCACTAAGCCAGAAGCACTAAGGACAAAAAAGACACATTTATAATCAGATTAGACACCAGTTCTAATAAGGAGGAATCACTGCTTCCTCTAAGGTAGAAGAGGGCCAAATGTAATCAGTCTGCCATCAAGAGGCTGATTGAGTTTCTCAAAGAATAATGTCACACTAAAGGTTCAATTTTAATGTCTGAAAATGGCAAGTTGGAAAATCAGAGATGACAGTAACCATTAACCTAGCTAGAATTGGTGAGGTATCCAAATTCTTGGGTTCATGGAAGACTTTTATCCCTGCCACTATGACTTCTCTAATCATGGGATCTTTGTGCTAGCTGATGCCACAAATCATCTTGTTCACCTGGTGCTTGAGAACCTCCTCTGTAGTAGAAGCTCTCTGGGGGGAATTAACACTAAACATAAAGATATAATTGCTTTATTCTAACTCCCATAGGTCTACACATACTCCATTTTCTAAGCCAAGTTGTCCCAAACATTCCAATCATTTTTCTCTCAGATCCTGACCAGCTAGATAAGCCATTCATCTCTGCCCATAAGTTTATGTACACCCATATCTCAGGCCATTTCTTCCTCCTAAGTAGCAAACAATCAAGTGTACTGTTCACCAATCTTCCAATAAGGTTTCCCTTATCATCACTGTCCTCTGAGGCATTAGCAGTCCATTTTCCATAGCACAGATATCTTGTATCAACCTATCTATAAACTAGGTCCAAAGATCTTTTGCATCCATCAATGAAACTTAAGAGAATTTGTTGGGCTAAAGGACTGAACTTAGGTAGAAATGATGCAAGAGAAATTGGTGATATTAAGAGTTTGGCCAATTTGTTTGCATAACTTACTCATGTCTTCTTGGTCCCTGCTTGAGCTTGATCCTAAATGTACCATATCCACGGTATAATGGGTTAGTGCTGTGCCCACAAGACCTAGTGCTGTGCCCACAAGACTCACTGGACAGTAATCAGTTCATGATGGGCTACTCAAATTGCTTTGACACTTAGTCTCCCATAGTCAGGTACTCAGTTTTCATTTGTACAACCAGATCTCCAATATTCATATTAATACTCCATATTAGAAAAGTCTCATGCTTGGTTTAATGTTCTGCAGTCATCATCTTAAAAGTTACAATAATTTTTTAACAAGGGGTCTTGCATTTTCATTTTGCTCTGGGCCCCACAAATTATGTTATATGGTCCTGCTAATGTAAATTACAGCTTAGCAAGAGATGAATCATGTTCTGTCTCCTGAAGAGTACAAATTGGTGGCATAGAGAGAGGGTGAGTGTGGCAGGACAGTGTACAGAGGAGAAGAATAAAAGCAATCACAGTGGAGGAAAGAGGTGAGTAGCATGTTGGAGGGATGACAAGATCCATGAGTGTAGCAGCATGGACTCCTTTCTCTGGTCTTCATCCCCTTCCCCCCCCCCACCCCAACTAATCATTCACCAATCCTGAATAATTCAGGTAACCTGAGCAGATCTCCATTTCTTGAAACCTGAAAGAGTGTAAGAGCACACATACTCTGGAGGTGATTTAAATCATGGGAATGAAACAGAATAAGGAGTGGAGAATTGAAGACCTTCTAATTTCCAATTTTTCATGAATTGATATTTTAGAAAATAAAATTTTAGAAATTGTTAGAAAAATGAAATAAAAGGCACACGAAATACAAGCAGACATTTTAAAGTATTTTAAACATACATAATTATATTTAAAATACACAATTAGAAAAAATAGGAGTGAAAAAAACACTTTTAGAGGTGATTAATAAAGAGAATTGCTAATACTTTAGCAATACGCAATCTTTTTTGTCATTCCACAGTTGTCCTGACTAAACAAAAAGCTGGTAGTGAAGTAGCAATTTCCTATACTAAGTGCTATAACAATATTTAATATTTTAAGTTTGTTAATATGTAATTTTTAACATGACAAATGAGCATGCTTCCTGCCTGTAAAATTACTTAAATGTTAATACTAGTAGGTGGAAATAAAGTATATCTAAACCATTTTATGTTTTATTTTCATAATACTCATAGTAGAGAAATCAGTCTCTCAAGTTATACTTAAAGGAATGGAAGAAGAGATTTTAAAGCAATTTCAGCAAGCTCAGGACATTCATTTAAGTTGTTACCAAAATGAAGAAAGCAATGCATTATTTTAGAAACTCATCTTCAATTCTTTATCAGTACCCAATTCTGAAAATTTCTTCTATAAAGTGTATAGTTACACTTAAATTATCTTTCAATGAAAGATGTGGTTTTGAATTTATGAATTCCATTCCCTATGTATGGAATTTATTTCCCTGGGAAATACAAATTCAATGTCTTATAAATTCATAATTATTTTTTACATTTTATATGTAAATGTCACTGGAGTTTGATATCTTTAATGCTTCATTTGTCAGCTAATGGATTTTAACACTTTACTATGAGTTATGCCCACAAACTCAATACATGGGAGATTATACTTCTGAGAAAATTAGAACAAACTTAGGTCTTTAATTATTTTGAATCACTTATCTGGTCATTATTTGGTTTACTACCATTATTAGTAATACACTATTGATGTTTATTTCTTGATAAAGGAGATGGTGAGTTTTATTTCATCATCTATATTTTTGGCTTAAAAACAAATGACACACATTTTACTTCCCTAATTGAGCTATGAACTAAAAAAGGATGTGTTTAAAAATTAAAATGACTAAATATAACAAATTATAAAAAGAAAATAAATATTTACATTTTCCCAGATATTGTAGACACTCTTAGGTTACAGAAGACAAATTAACTTTATGCCTTATAATACCGTCCTACTGTTACTGCCACTTGTCATTCACCAAGAAGTAGAACACTTGAACTGTTCTATACTGTTTAATGAGAGATATTCATTGATCATGTGCTTGGACATTGATGAAATGTCAAATTACTACAAACACGGCTAAGCACTTACTGTTAATTTCCATACTTATCTCCTTATGGACTAAAGACAGTTTTTCTGACTGGCACTGGTCAAAGTGTTACTGGAACCCAGCTTCCTCAGTGATGGGAGCCGGCAAGAGCAGTGGTGTTGTCAACCTGTTGCTCCATCACAAGTAGGTTGTGGCAATTGCTCCTCAGAGCTCAGTAACTGCCTTTTTGTCAGTTGTGGCAGTTGCTCCTCAGAGACCTCTTATGTAACGGTGTACTTCCTGGATCATGGAATGGACCAATTAGGTTCGAGCTACGAGCTGATTGGTGCTAAATGGTCCAATCAGACTTTGGTTGCCAAGACCCAGCCTCTCACCACAGGTCAGCTGTGGCAGTTGCTCCTCAGAGCCCTTTTATGTAAAGCACACGCCCTGGGGTGTGGAATGGACCAATCAAGTGCTATGGGCTGATTGCTAGATGGTCTGATAAGGATTGAAAAATGGTCCCATCAGACTGGTGGGTGGGGCACCCTTAAAGAGGATACAAGCCGAGGTCGGAGGGAGGTGAAGGAGACAAGGAAGCCACCACACAGGGAGAGATGATGCCATCCCCTGGAGAAGAGGGGAGATGAAGCCAGCCCAGAAACACCACCGCTAGCCTCTGGAGAAAAGGAGACAGTTCCAGCCTCTGAAGAAAGAAGAAAAGAAGCATCCAGCAGCCACCCTCTGAGGAGGGAAGAGAAGCCAAAGGACTCTGTCACAGACTGGGCCTGGGTCCTGTCTCTGACATTGCCTGGAAGGAGCACCAATGGCCCTGGGCCTGGTGTCTTAAAGAGCTGTTTGTTGTTGTTGTAACCCAACAACTCACAAAGAGCTGTTAACGCTGGGTGTCTCTGACACCACCTCTGCGGGACCAGGAGTGGCCATCACTACTGGCTAGAGCTGTCCAGCAATCCTGGTGACCGGTGGTGACCATCACTGATGCTGCCTGGGTGAGGCAGCCGCCACCTGTGGATACAGTGAGCACTTTGTTTCCCCTGTTTGTAAAATAAACCCCATGGTTGTTGTTCCTGGAGTCTAAGGTCTCCTGCAATTGTGGGCGCAGGTGAGAACCCACAGACAGTGACTTGTCCTCTTATCGGGCACTGTCCTTGTTAGGCTATAGCTCTTGGTTTTGGTTTTTGAGGCATTTGATGGTTCCCTGGTCTCAGAGCCCGGGAGGGTGGGTGGCCGTTCCACCCTTCCATCCGGCCTCCTGCCTGTTGCTCTTTTGTGGCCCTCGCCACCGGTTTCAAAAGGACCACATTTTGAGTAGTGCTGCTCTAGGGAACTTGAATTGAAGAGACTGGGAGAAGAACTAGTGGAAGAGTTTATGAAGTAAAATAAGAGAGAGCAAGGAGGTTTGGGTTCATGAAAAACAAGACACTTTTTAATTAAGGGAAAGTGGTAACTGTTAACTGCAAGAAAGAGTATACTGGTTAAGGATAAAAAGAAGCCATTGATGAACTGATGAATTAGGACACTTGAATGAGTGATTTCAGTAGAGAACTGGTGGATTAATAGAAGAGAGCACGAAGAGACTGAAAAACTGGGGAAATAGAGCAAATGGAGCACACCCTTTCAAATGGTAAATAAATGGAAGTAGTGTGGTAGCTTAGGAATGCAAAAACATCCAGGGAAGACTACTTAGACTAGGAAAGACACACAGAAAATATCACAACATTGTGAGACTATACAACATTGCAGGGGAATGGAACTCCTATTTCCCCCTCACCACTCCCTCGCCTTTCTAGTCTATCACCAAGTCCTATTTCTTGCAACTCCCTTGATACTGAGTTCACATCACATTGTAAAAAGTTCGAATGGGCTTTTGGAAATAACTTGTGAAAGGCTATTAATAATTCATATATATATATATAAATGGACTGTCTTTTTTTTTTAAACATTTTTTTTTTAAAGATTTATTCATTTATTTTACACAAGCACTGGGTACAGTCAGAAGCACGGGAGGGTGAGAGAATTCACCAGAGCGGAGAGCAGAGCAGGTAGAAGGACCAAAGTACACTGCTGAGGGGAGCAGCGGGTGGCAGGAGAGGTCTGCGCACCATGTGGGACCCTCGCCAGTGGCCAGGGATTGAACCGGCGCTGCAGAGGCTGCGGGCAGCTTCACAGCCCAGCACTTAACCCCTGCGCTACTGGGGAGGCCCCACAAAAAATATTATAACATCACTGAAGGGCCTTCAAGTTGAAGAGACTTCTGTCTCCCGATAGAAAGTCTAAGAAAGGTTTTTTGTTTTAGTTTTTGTCTTACAACAGTCATAAAACTGCAGTGCAGGTGGAAGAAGATAGTAGATCCTTTTAAAAGCCTGTAGATTTTCTAATGCTTCTTTGGTAGTACAATAAAAAGCTGTGAGGGGATCTAAGAATTTTGATTCATTCAATTGTTCTTGAGTTGTGTGTAAGTTTATTAAACACAGTAAGGAACATAGTTAACATATCATGGTGAAGATACACCTTTTATAAACTGAGAAATCTCGCTTTGATTTATGATAACTGTGGAAAGGCCAGCTATGGATAAATTGGGTCTGAATAAAGCAAAAGTTTTATCTCTATACTTCAATTCCCACAACTTTCCTCTGATTTCCTCATCTTCCCTCTTTGAGTGAACCAGCATTTACTGGGTGCCCTACACTTGGCTAGGTACTAAGATTAAGATTTGGTGTCTATTCTAAAGGGGCTAACAGGAGAGAGATTATCAGTCATGGAGCTTTCTGGTGTAAACAACCAAAAATCCCAGATCAGTCAAGGTTAGCTTCAAGATTGGTCAAATCACAGGTTCTGTTATTTCAACAAGGACCCAGGGTTTTGGTGGGGTTTTTTGTTTTGTTCTGTTTTTTAAATATCCTTACTCTATCATCCTTAGAATTTCTGTCTTATCCTCATGTCAGCTTGCTTTAGGTCACAATAGCTGCAATAGTGTCACACTCTCATGATAATAGAGACTAGAAGAACCATGTCATCTCTATATCTCATCTTATCAGACTCCAAGCAGACAACCTTTAATCTTGCAAAGACCAAAACTTCACCCCCGGTCTCTGCTTCCACTAATCCTAGGCAAGGTATGAACAGGATTACCACTTTGATGGTATCTGCTCTCTGCAGCTGGGGTTGAGCATGGCCCTATTTCCTGATGAACTTTTGGCCCCCAAGTTTCTGCTCTTTGGCCCAACTGTGTGATTTCACATCGTGGCACATGCCATGGCATACATAGGGGATGACAATCCATTCTATGACCCACAGGGATAAATCCAAGAAGCTTGCTAGTCATAACTTGCCTGAAGTTCTTGCTGTTTCAGACCCTGCTCAGCTGTTTCAAGATGAGGGGACACATCACAGCACAACTGTAGGTAGTGCTTTATTCACAGCACCTCAGATGGGAAGTTCCGGCCAAGTAATCCATAGTATCTGACAGAGAGAAAAACATACTCAGAGTTGACTACTATTATAATATGAAAAGGCAGTTTCTAAGTCCAAATTAGTACTAGCAAGATCTCTGATGTCTTTGTAATTTTACACCTGATGCTTGCCTCCTCCTGGTGTTTTATCAACACAATGTAAGGGATAAATAAAGTGGAGCTAAATATATCTCAGTACAAATTCTCTGTCATCTATCAGCTCTGTGACATTGGCAAATAACTCCTTCGAGTCTTTCTCCCATGTGGAAAACGGAATACCACTAGCACTCATTTTAAAGGGTTGCTTCTGAGGATTAAGTAAGTTAGGTAAAATGGCCAGTACAAGCCCTGGTATCCAGTAAGCCCTCTTTAACTGTTCATCTGGCAAACTTCTACCCAACTGCCCGTGCTTCTCCGAAGATGCCCCTCAGACATTTCAATGCTGCCTCGGGTTTTTACACCACTGCCCAAACATTTATCACACTAGAATGTTCTTTACTATCACTTTCCACTGTCCAACCCACCCCCCCAACACCCACGCCCCCTCCCCGCCCCCGTCTTTTCTTAGCCAGTGACCCCTAAAAGGCAGTAACTATACTACGCAGTGTCTCTTAGCGATTAGCAAAGCTCAGCACCTACTAGGGGGTGCAGCAACAGTTTTTGTTTGGGCCAACAGTTCTTAACCCACAGCGCGGAGGCGAGCGGCGCAGGGGGCGCGGCCCCGGGCGGGGAAGGGGCGTGCCCGTTAGGGGTGCGCCCGCCTGATATGCCCTCGGGGCCCGAGCCGCCGCCCCAGAGCGGAGACAGGGCTCAATCTCCCCCACCAGATTCTGGGGAATGCGTCCTTACCGGCACCCCTGCCCGGCACGGGGAGTTTCGCGTAGAAACAAGATGAAACGGCCCCTCCGGGAAGGCGCCCCGGCCGGCCGCGGCCGCCCGCCCTGCCGGCACCACCCCGCGCCCCCGCCCTGCGCCCCGCCCGGCGCCCCGGTTCCCTCGCGACTCCGCGGGCCCGGGAACCTCGCGGACGTGACGCCGCGGGCGGAAGTGACGTTTTCCCGCGGTTGGACGCGGCTCTCGGTTGCCGGGCGGGGGAGGGCGCCTCGGTTTTTCTCAGGGGACGTTCAAATTATTTTTGTAACGGGAGTCGGGAGAGGACGGGGCGTGCCCCGACGTGCGCGCGTCCTCTCTTCCCGGCTCTCCTCCATAACTCGCTGGCGCCTGCCCTGAGAGGGCGTCATGCCGCCCAAAAACCCCAGAAAGGCAGCCGCTGCCGCCGCCGCCGCCGCTGCTGCCGCTGCCGCCGCCGCCGCCGCCGCCGCGGAGCCCCCCGCGCCGCCGCCCCCTCCCGAGGAGGACCCGGGGCAGGACAGCGGCCCCGAGGACCTGCCTCTGGTCAGGTGAGCGGCCGGAGCCCCGTCGGCGGCCCGCGGGCGGGAAGGGCGCCCCGAGGGTGCGTCGGGCGGGCGCCGCGGCGTCTAGGCGGGGGCGCGTCCTCGCGGGGGCCGGGTGCGGGCGGGAGGGGAGTCCCGCCGCGTCCCCCGCCCCCGCGGGCCGCCGGGGAGGGTGAACGCGGCTGCCCGCGGGCGCGCGGGGAAGGCCCCCAGGAGGGGTCTGGTCTCGGGCTTGACAGGTGTCGGGCGGGTGGGGCCCGGCCTCGGCGCAAGTGACAGGTGCCGCCTTCCCTGGGCGAGGCCGAGGCTCGCCGGCGGTGGGCGATTTAGAGGCCCCATTACACGCACCAGCAAACAGACAAACGACGTGTCTGGTAAAACGTTTTTAGCTGTTGAGATTTGTAGTCATTCTGGTCGTCGTTTGCCTTTTTATTTTAGTCGCCTGGGATGCAACCTCTTGCCAGTGTTTCCCGCTGGACGTGCGCTGTCTCTGAAGCCCAGTCCAGGCGGAAGCCAGCTGGAAGGTCTTGGATGCTTCGGCGTCTGGCGTCTGACTAAGCCTCTGGGCCTGGGTATCAGTCGCCCCTCCAGGACACTGGGCTGAGGTGCTTTGTGGGGTTCCCTTACTTGCGAACTTGAGACCCTGGGTAATGACTGGTGGAACATAACTCTTTAGAGGAATTGATATATGAGCAATAGTTTCGTGAGGCATTGAGCCTAAGTGCTTAAAAGTTTCTAAACAACTTTCCAAAGTTAACTTTCTTTGAGTTTCTAAAACTCTTCTTGCATGGTAGTCTGGCTTCAACGTGTCAACATTTCGTCCATTTTGCTTTTTGGCTTTGATCCTGGTGTCCCCTTACTTGTTTTTGTTTGTTTGCTTTCAAAATTAGTGGTATTTTTGTGCTCACATGGAACTCCCCCACCCCCCAGGCCTAAATTTAAGTAAATTCATGTGGGTGCAGTAGAAAATAAGGAGATATTTATTGTGTTGCAACCTCTTATTTTCCTTGATTGTGATATTTTATGGACAAGAAACTAAGATTGAAATACTTTGTCATCATTATTGTCAACTTTGGCCATTCTTTGAGACTATACAACATTGCAGGGGAATGGAACTCCTTTTTCCCCCTCACCACTCCCTCGCCTTTCTAGTCTATCACCAAGTCCTATTTCTTGCAACTCCCTTGATACTGAGTTCACATCACATTGTAAAAAGTTCGAATGGGCTTTTGGAAATAACTTGTGAAAGGCTATTAATAATTCTCATATATATATATAAATGGACTGTCTTATGTCTCAATTAAAAAACATTTGTCTAGTTAAAAAAGAAAGTCTTGGAATGTTCTGAGAGAAGACATTAATTTCTCAGTCAACCCTGATGTATATCCAATGTTTGAAAGTTTCATTTTAGAAAGAACAGTAAAGTCTGCTCTAAAGAATTCTGTGTAATTCACAGAGCTTTGAAAACATTCTAGATTATTATAAGGTAACCAGGAATGTTAAAGTTCTGCCAGTCACCTAGGAAAAGAAGGATTTTGTTTCTTATCTTTTTTCACCAGCACATTATTTTATATACATTTAAATGATGGTGCTATTGGAATTTCTCCTGTAAGTCAAAAGCATGCCAGTTACAGTCTGCTTTTGATTATCTTCACCCACAGAAGATTTGAATAGCAGGAACAATGGAACTTCATAGATTTACTACTTAGCAAGGGTGGAACCGTTGAAATCTGAAATGAAGAAACTTACTTAGGGTTGTATCCAGGACCTGTACAACCGCGGGTTCAGCAATAGTTCATTTTGCTTGCAAAATGAGATCTCATTTCTGTGCATTATCTCTGGCCTAAGTGATATGGTTGAAGGGAATCATCACTAATAACAGCAAGCCACTTTCATTGTTGAGACATGCCACTTTCATTGTTCAGATAGTCAAAAGTTAATTATGTTTTGAAGGAGGGTTGGCAATATTGAGTCATGGTCAAGGGCATGGATTATGGAATTAGACTGGGGTTTATGTCAAGGTGATCCACTTACTGACTTCAGGTGAATGATTTAGCCGCTTTGTAAAACAAGGATAGTAAGTGTACCTGCCTAATAGGACTGTTGTAGGGATTCATCGTAACCAGGCAT